GAGCATATCAATACAAATCAAGGGTTACGTTCCAACGAATTTATAAATACGTTCCAACGTGTTTACACCTACTTTATATAAAGAAGATAGGTTTTACACCTAGTTAATCAAATATTTAGCATTTCTCCAACCTGCAGTTTTTTAAGTGACTTTTTATTTATTTTTGTTTGACTTGTGGCTAAATATTGGTTCGTATTTCATTGTCTAACGTCTGCAGTTTTGGTCTGATCAATAATCGCTCAATTTTCTGCGTCAAAGTCCTTCTTCCAAGAAAATGTAAATAATTTAAAAATATATAACCCTCCCTGCATCATTAGGACTTAGGAGGTTTCCAAGAAATTGTCAAGGTAAAATATTAAATCCTGCGTCATTAGAAGAAGAGCCCTACAATTTTAGGTGTTATCAAAATCTCTCTTAACATCTTTACGTTAGTATCAATTTACCCCCATTATACTTCACATTACTGAATTTTTTAGTTCGGTTTGTGTTAATTTATCTATATTATAAACTATAGTAATAACAAAAAAGAGCTTAGTTCCAAGTGGATAATAATATGATGGATAGGATTCGTAATAAGTTAAAAGTATAGGGACTCGTTAAGACGTTAATTTCAAGTTCTTTTTTCTGACTATCTCAATAAAAGCATTTTCCAGATTCAATAAACAAAATAGCTCTTTCCATTTCCTTCTGCAGATTGGTTTCTGAAAAGCTTTGAGATATTGATCTTCTCTTGATCATACTTGATGGATTCTTCTTTTTACTTTGGTTTTTGTGCTGCTGCAATAACCTTCTTCACTCTTTTCGGTACAATATTTTTCATGTTTTATGGAAAACAAAAATCCCATCAAGAAAACAAAACAATAGCTTCTTCTCCTTCTTCTTCTTCTTCTTTATCTCTTTCATCTACTCCATCTTCTTTGTCTCGAAATCGGAAACACGATGTCTTCCCAAGCTTCCACGGGGCAGATGTTCGTAAAACCTTTCTTGCTCACATCCTAAAAGAGTTCAAAGGAAAGGGAATCGTTCCATTCATTGATAATGATATCGAGAGGAGCAAGTCTATCGGTCCTGAGCTCATAGAAGCTATAAAAGGATCGAAGATCGCGATCGTCTTGCTCTCGAGGAACTACGCTTCTTCGTCTTGGTGCTTAAACGAGTTGGTGGAGATCATGAAGTGTAGAAAAGAGTTGGGTCAAACAGTGATGACCATTTTCTATGATGTTGATCCAACGGACGTAAAGAAGCAGACTGGAGATTTTGGGAAGGTCTTTAAGAAAACTTGTAAAGGTAAAACCAAAGAGGACATTAAGAAATGGCGAAACGCTTTGGAGGCTGTGGCAACAATCGCTGGGGAGCATTCCCGTAACTGGTTAGCTTTCTTGATTTATATTCTCTAACACATAAAGCTATATTTATTGGTAGCTTTTAAAGAATTTAAAGACAACCAATACATAATTTTTGGATGTGTATGTGAATTTTTTATAAATATTAATCGATGTATAAATTGGTCACTTCCTTTGTTAGGGATAATGAAGCAGCCATGACTGAAAAAATCGCCACTGATGTTTCAAACATGCTGAATAGATACTCACCGTCAAGAGATTTTGACGGTTTAATTGGGATGGGGGCTCATATGAACGAAATGGAATCGTTATTATGCCTAGACTCTGATGAAGTAAGGATGATTGGGATTTGGGGTCCGTCTGGGATAGGAAAGACTACCATTGCCAGAGTCTTATACAGCCAATTTTCTGAAAATTTTGAATTGAGTATCTTCATGGAGAATATCAAAGAGTTAATGTATACAAGACCAGTGTGTTCTGATGAGTATAGCGCAAAGATTCAGTTACAGAAACAATTTTTGTCCCAAATAATCAACCACAAGGATATGGAGCTTCCTCATTTAGGAGTTGCACAAGATAGGTTGAACGACAAGAGAGTGCTTATTGTTCTTGATAGCATTGATCAATCAATACAACTAGATGCTATCGCAAAAGAAACTCGGTGGTTCGGTCATGGAAGTCGGATTATCATCACAACACAAGACCAAAGGCTTTTGAAGGCACATGGCATCAACCATATTTACAAGGTGGAGTTTCCATCAGCATATGAAGCTTATCAGATGTTTTGTATGTATGCTTTTGACCAAAACTTCCCTAAAGATGGTTTCGAGGAGCTTGCATGGCATGTTACAAAACTTTTAGGTAATCTACCTTTGGGACTAAGAGTTATGGGATCCCACTTCCGGGGAATGTCTAGGCATGAGTGGGTAAATGCATTACCAAGGTTAAAGATTCGCCTTGATGCTAGTATTCAAAGCATTTTAAAGTTCAGTTACGATGCCTTATGTGATGAAGATAAAGATTTATTCCTTCATATAGCCTGCCTTTTCAACGATGAAGAAATGGTGAAAGTGGAAGATTATCTTGCTTTAAGTTTCTTAGATGTGAGGCAAGGGCTTCACCTCTTAGCTGAGAAATCTCTCATAGCATTAGAGATTCTTTCTGCTGACTATACACGTATAAAGATGCACAATCTATTAGTGCAATTAGGTAGAGACATTGTCCGTCATAAGCCTGGGCACCAATGCATTCGTGAGCCTGGGAAGCGTCAATTTTTGGTTGATGATAGAGATATTTGTGAAGTACTCACTGATAACACGGTTAGTTCTATTATTATTCTCTTGTTTCCTTGTTCTCTACAAATTAAATTCATTCAATAGCTAATTATCTCTTGTTTTCTATCTTTCCTGGTCTTTTTACAGGGTAGTAAAAATGTTATAGGTATATTTCTGGAGGTAAGAAACCTATCAGGCCAATTAAATATCAGTGAGAGGGCTTTCGAAGGAATGTCTAACCTTAAATTCTTAAGATTACATGGCTCATTTCACGGTGGAAGCGATAAATTGTACTTACCGCAAGGTTTGAATAATCTACCTCGAAAACTTAGAATAATAGAATGGTTCCGTTTTCCAATGAAATGTTTGCCTTCCAATTTTTGTACGAAGTACCTAGTCCAGCTAGATATGTGGAACAGCAAACTTCAGAACATGTGGCAAGGAAATCAGGTACATAATTGTTGTGTTTCTCTCCAATTTTGTAATATTAGGTTTGTTTTCTTGCAAATTTTAGGTGTCAAAAAGGAGAGATTTTCCGGTATTATTTCTTAGAAAGCTATCTCTTGAAATCTTTATTCAGCTTGGTTAAATTGTAGTATCCCTCCATGGCTAGTATCATTGGTGGAAAGGGAGGAACTATGTATGAATTGTATGAACGAAGAATTTAATTTTTCAGTCAATATAAAAGACACTCCGTTATTATTTGAATTTAATTTTAAGTAATGTGTTACCTTATGTTGTCTTTATTTGTTTGTGCAGCCACTTGGAAATCTCAAGAGGATGGATTTGAGTGAGTCTAAACACCTAAAAGAGTTACCTGATCTCTCAACTGCCACTAACCTTGAAAAATTGATTCTGTTTGGATGCTCAAGTTTGCCAGAGCTCCCCTCCTCTATTGGAAGCCTTCAGAAATTGCAAATGTTAGTATTACAAGGATGCTCAAAGCTAGAGGCTCTTCCTACTAATATCAACTTGGAATCTCTCGGTTACCTTGATCTCAATGATTGCTTACTGATTAAAAATTTTCCTGAGATCTCCACAAACATTATATATCTCAAGCTCATGAGAACTGCAATAAAGGAAGTGCCTTCAACGATCAAGTCATGGTCTCATCTTCGTGACTTGGAAATGTCATATAATGACAATCTCAAGGAATACCCACATGCTCTCGATATCATCACAAAGCTTTACTTTAACGATACAGAAATACAAGAAATTCCTCTGTGGGTCAAGAAAATCTCTCGTCTTCAGTCAATTACACTAGAGGGTTGCAAGAAGATAGTAACACTCCCTCAGCTTTCAGATTCCTTATCACGCATATACGTAAAAAACTGTGAGTCACTGGAGAGACTTGATTTCTCCTTTCACAATCATCCAGTAATACATCTCAGGTTTGCTAATTGCTTCAAGCTGAACAATGAAGCGAGAGAATTCATCCAGACTAATAGTACCTTTGCAGTCTTACCTGGTAGAGAAGTGCCCTCAAACTTCACTTACCGAGCTAATGTTGGAAGTTCCATAATGGTAAATTTGAATCAAAGGGCTCTTCCTACAACCTTGAGATTTAGGGCTTGCGTCTTGCTGGACAAAAAAGTTGACAGGGAGGAGGCCCCTGATAGGAAAACACTTTTATTTCATAACATCAGGGAAAAAGGTAAAATTGGCGTCGATGTTTCATGGAGACCTCAATATTGCTTTCCCGTGCCTCCCATTTTAAGAGAGCATTTGCTCACCTTCCAATATGAAACTAATGTAACGTCAAACGAGCTTATATTTTCGTTCAACATCGAGGGTAACCAAGCGGTGATAAAAGAATGTGGAGTACTCCAACTCTAAGTTCATTAATGTGATGGAAAAACAACTCAAGACTTAGTTGGGACCCACAACACAAAACCATGTCCTGAGACTTCAGAACTTCAGAGAAGAACAAAACACTGATTAACTGATCTCCAGCAGTCCAGCAAAACAAAAAAAATCCTCCATGACGAAGACGTTGACGAGGTAAAGTTATATTGACAACTTTTTATCTCATCTTCGTTGCCGCCAATTTCTTCTAGTCAACAACCGGTTTAACATCTCCGATACTATTCATCTCTGATTTAGGTAAAAAAATCTCATCTTTCTCAGTTTCTTGTGATCTGAACTACAGTTTTTGAATTTGGTCTCTCTTTGATTTCTGTAGAGATGATTTTGTTGACATTGAAGAAATCTTCGATGAACCACAAGCTTTCACCAGGAGTCCACCAGACCGCCTCCGGGAATGGAGAAATCCAAATCGAAGCTGAAAATATGGCTTGATAATCGATATCGCAACTGGCGCTACTCAATGGATATGGCAAAAATCATGAGACAATGAGATTATTGGACTGTGATTGGCATTTTGAAAATTGCAATTTTTTTATTGTCCCACACTATCATCTTTAATATCCACAAACTAAATTAACACTTCACTTTTCTTTCTTTTACCTGAAAAAAAGAAGAAGAGAGAAGCAGCTATCTACACAAATACTCCATTAAGTAGATAAACTTCACGGTTTAGACAAACCACAAAGCCAACTCAAAAGAACCTCAGCACCTTTCTCCCATGAACAATCTAGCATCATGTCATGAGCAACACCTTCAATACAAACCGGTTCAACCTCATAAAACCACCCGGTTTCCTTCAGCCCCTCACAATCCTGCAAAACCATAACCCATTTCGGTGTAATACAAGTACCAAGATTGAAAAACTTTCTGGTTTGGTTAGAAGACAAAGGAGGGTGCGTTCTTAGTTCGTACCACTATGAAGTCATCTTTGGCACCTAAAACAAGAACATTTGTAGAATTTTCCATTGGTTTTGGTACTGGAAGTGATGCGTTTAGCTTCCTCAGATCAAACAGCGGCATCCGTGAACTCTCTATCATAAGATCCTGGTAACTGAATCAAGAAAAGAGAGAGACAATTTGTTTAGATTAGTGAAACTTTATTTTAGATTCAAGGTGACTATTGAGCTAGATTAAAGATATACCGCTTCACAAGTTGATCATCCATAGCTTGAGAGAAGAATGTTTCTCGACAAAGGGGAATAGATTTCTGAAAACCTTTAGCAGCTAAACTGAGAGTAACCTACTCAAGAACATAACCAAGAACAAACATTGCTGAACAAATAGAACATGACATCAAGATCATCCTAGCAAGATCAAAGGCAGAAAAAGATTTTTACCTTAAAAGCAGCCACAGGGTTCGAGAAGAGATAACGTAAAACTAAGCCGCTGAACAACAAAGAGAGTCCCGGAAGTTATATATAAGCTAAATTCGTTTAGCCAATAGGTTGCGAGAAGTTTACCTATTACCCGAAGGTGGAACCGAGCAAACAAGTACAACCCCTGAAAGTTCTGGAAACGCATTTTCCGTTCCTGGAATCAAAAACAACAAACTCATCGGTTATCGTATAGGCATTCTTACACCTGATCCAGAAAACGAAACTCATTTCAATGAATATACACCTTACCTAACGTCTGCTTGTTTACAATATTTGCCAAGTAATATTGAACAATGAGTCCTCCAAAAGAATGACCAATAAGCACAGGAGGTGAAGAACCAAGATTCGATTCAATGAAATCCGCAATATCACTTGCGTGCGTCTACTACACAAACACAAATCTTGCTGAATCAAGTAATTATCCAATAAACATTGCAAGTTTCAAATACCTGAAGTGTTCCAGCAACTGTTCCCAAAGGTTCATCACTTTCACCCTAAAGATAACAAATCACTCAATTTCAATCCAAAGTTTGAAACTTTATGATCTTGAAAGTCTAACTAGATAATGGAGATATCAAATTTCATCATAAAAATCAAAACTTTGATGATTTTGAGAATTTACCTGACCTAATAAGCTAACAGCATAAGAATCAAACCCAGAAGAAGAGAAGAAAGGTAACCAATGTTCAGCCCAACACCAAGCTGCGTGATAGCTTCCATGTACAAACACCAATGGTGGATTCTCTCTTTCGGATTTGCTTCTTCTCTGCTCGATTACCTCCATTTTTAGACCAGATGGAAGCTTGTGGAAAAGACGGTTTTGCCCCTTTTTCAGTTCGTATGGAACTGTCGTTCTTGGAGATTTGGTGAGAGCTGCCATGGGCTTCATCGTCATTTTGAAGGAGGATATGCATGGTATTGAGGTAAGAGAAGAAGACGCCATTAGCGTGAAGGTCGAGTTGTTCAGAAGAGGAGAGCTCTCAAGAACTATCAGAAGTTTTACTGTTTACGCTAAATAATGTAAGAAAAAAGATAACCATAGACTATTAACACTGTTAATATTCTTGAAAATTATTTTGAAAACTCTCTAAAATTTCTTAATAAATTCTTGAAAAATTCGAAAGTCCAAAAGTATGTTATTCATAATTCTTACTCCAAACTACTTAATTTTATAAAAAATAATTAAAAATAACTAAAAAAATTCGTACGAAACTGAATTTTAATATTTAATTTAAGAGAGTTTTCAGTTTTTTTTTTGGAAATTTTCAAGAATTTATTATTATTTGAAAATAAATTTATAATTTCAATATTAATATTTTGATTGATAAATTAGAAAAGTTAACAAAAATTGGGCTAGGCGCTGATCGGAGGAGCACCGCGGCGATTTTGTCCAAATCGGTGAGAAAAATCGGAGATCCGATTTTTTGTCCGCCTGGACCGCCTAGGCGGCCGCCTAGCCCGCCTAGACGGCGCCTAGCCCAATTTTTTTTTTTTTTTTTTTTTTTTTTTTTACTTTTTTTTTTCATCTAAAATTCAAAACGTCCTACTTATGTTCGTAATTTGTATAAAAATCATAAATTTGAAATTAAAATCTTGTTTTCATGTGTTTAATACAATTTTAAAAACAATATTATATAAATTTCTTAATTATAATGGATTAATATGTTTTTAAAATATTAAATAGCCCTAAAACTAATCCCCGATTAATCCCCGTGTAATCCCCGATTTTCTTCCTAGGCGCTAGGCGCACCCTCACCGCCCGACTAGCGCCTAGCGATTTTTTGAACACGGGATTTTTTCAAGGAATCTAGCAGCGTTCATCAGTCAAAAATGCAGTCTAGGCATGTGACCTACGACGTAGTTGGTGGCACCAAATCAGTTCCTTACGTGAACCGGACGAATGATATTTCGCACGGTTCCATTAACAATGTTCAACCGAAACACTGGAAGATGATGAGTGTAAGGAAGTTGATGATGTACAACATCAGGGATATGTGGAATCTCAGCTGCACTCATGAGGTCAACGTATTCCACATGTCTCTCCATTTGTTCCCACCTACATTGCCTTTGTGGATCGACCTTTGGTGGGATGAGACCGCTATGCTCATTTTTCAAGTGCTTATCAAGTTGAGAATAAGTTCCGGAGAAATTGCAATCATCAATAAAAACAAGACCTCGGTTTAGCATTCATGAATCTACTTGCAGTGCTTGTCACTTTTGTTGTCTCAAAGACTTCTCCTCTACAAAGAGGGCAGTTTGAGGTCTTGGTACTTGAGCGCTTCTTCTTGTTCTTTTTACGGAACTGCTTGAAACAGTTGGAGTGACGAGCACTTGTGTCACACATATAAGGACGACATCCATTAAGGGAGGAAGAATATTAGGGAGTTATATGTAAATATAGTATAATTCCTAGAGTTTTATGTTAATATCCTTAAGTATGTTTAGGGTTTCCTGTAACATGTATATATACTCTTTCTTTGATATGAATAAGACAAGTTTTCTCTTTATTCTCTTATCCCTTTGGCATGGTATCAGAGCTAGGGTTTTAAGAAGAAGATCAAACAAAGGGAGAAAGAGAAGAGATTATGGCTGACGGGGAGAACAGCGGAGGAGGAGAGCTCGCGTTGAGCAAGAAGGCTGCGGAAGGCGGCGGTGGAAGTGGACTCACGGTGGCGGAGAAGCTAGCTATGGCCTCTCCACTTTATCTCCATCCTTCTGATGGACCGGGTAATTTGATCACTACTGTTCAATTAAAGGGAGAAAACTATGAAGATTGAGCTAAGCATGTGCGGAACGCCTTGCGAACGAAACAGAAATTAGGGTTTATTGATGGAACTGTGGAGAAACCTACCAAGGAGGATGAGATTGAACAGTGGGAAGTGGTTAATTCTATGTTAATTGCTTGGATTATGAACACGATTGAGCCGACTCTCAGGACATCGATTTCTATGGTGGATGAAGCTCAAGCGTTGTGGGAAGATTTGAAACTTCAATTCTCTGCGGGAAACGGACCAAGAATCAGTGAGCTTAGGGCTGACATAGCAAACTGTAGACAAAACGGGGTTACAGTGATGGTGTACTATGGAAGACTTAAGAAGATGTGGGATGAATTGGCAATTTACAAGCCTATTCGATCATGTAGTTGTGGAGAATTGGCTGCTCAGTTGGAAGAAGATCGTAATGAAGAGAGAACCAATACCTTCTTGAATGGTTTAGACTCTGCGAAGTTTGGTACGGTGCGTTCTACTATCACAAGTATGGAGCCCCTACCTAAGCTCTCACAAGTCTATCAAAGGATCATTCGAGAAGAGAGACAACTCACGATCACTAGGAATCCTGATGCAACTCCGGAGGCTGTAGGGTTTGCGGTACAAGCTGCGCAACGGGGTCAAACTTCAAATTTTTATCGCGAGAAGGACGTGACATGTACTCATTGTGGTAAGTATGGGCATGCAAAGGCTGATTGCTTTCAGATAATTGGCCTTCCTGAATGGTGAGGAGAACGGGGTCGCGACTACAATGATCGCGGTAGAGGTGGACGTGGAGGTCGGTTTGGCCGTGGAGGTCGGTTTGGACGTGGTCGCGGGTCTGGTGGTAGGGCCAATGCGGTCACGGGTGTTCATACCAATATTGTTGGGGGCATACAAGCTAATTCTACAAGGACAGCGGCTGATTTGGACCGTCAATCTCTACCCCAAATGAGTGATGATCAATGAAATGCTCTCAAGAGTCTCTTTGCTTCTCAAAAGTCAAATCCTAATGAGAAGTTGAATGGTAAGAAAGAATGTGTTGATTTTATTATTGATACAAGAGCATCACACCACATGACTGGCGATCTAGACTACTTGTCTAATGTGATGGATACTAATCCATGTATGATTGGACTACCCGATGGGGATCAATAACAGAGAAACAAACATCTCTCTACATTACAACAGAGAAACAAACATCTTTCTATTTATTTTAAAAAAAGTCCCTAACTATGTAATTTTACAAGATAAACCCTAAAATCTATTAAAATAGATATCAAACCCAGATAGAAATTTGTAGAGACAAAACCGGTTCAATAGGACAAAAATTCTCAACCATGAAGCTGTCTGTTCCAAGTTCGTGCTTCCCAAATCACCGTTCATGTCGGGATCTAAGCTCTTTTCATCGAACATGCCTTGCTCTACTGTTCCTAGACGCACAAGAAGATCACACTGCTTTGCTTCTTCTAAAGATATGAGCTTTGACCATATCCCTAAACAATTTCGAGGAGACAATCTCAAAGACGGAGGTTTTCATTTTCTCTCTTCTTTCTTATCTTCTCCTTCTGATAGATTTGTTCTTAGGTCTCCAACTTTGAATTGAGTCACAAAGTTCTGTATTTTTCCTTTGAAAGGCCTTAGTGACCCATTTGTCTGCAATCATAGGTTAGGACGATGAATTAGGAAAATCGATGTAGCAAAGATTGTTTCTTTGGGGCGTTTAATTCCGTTTGCAATACGTCGATGTTGTTCATTATCTAAGTTTGTATAGCAAATCTCTGTGGGCTTTTAGTTTCTCTAATGTCTTAACCTGGACTTAGTTTAAGACACACTAATTTCAGCGAAGTGAAACTCTTTTGTTCGTGATAAGTTGTTGTCTATGTAATGGACGAATATATAAGTTTGATTGCTACAATCACGAAATTTATGCTTAGGAGAACAAATTTCGCCAAACAAGCTGATAAAATTGGAAAACTGTGTTTTCTTTAATGCTTTGTATATTTGATCTGACATACTATTTTTCTTCGCCTTTTTCTTTAGTGATGCACAACTTCCAGACTGTACCGCAATATTTTTACGGGCTTAATCCAGCTCAAATGGATATGTTCATGACGGAGGATAGCCCTGTCCGTAGGCAAGCGGAAAAAGTTACAGAGGTTATTTTTCTCTTTTAAGCCTTCTTATCAGTCCATTCACAGTTTCAGAATTAGAAAAGCTAAGAGGCCAACAAAGTTGCTTCACAATTGAATCTTCATCAATCATACGTACATATCAACAAAGTAGAACCAAATCATTGAAAGCATTACGATTTAACACAATCGTTATCTATAAAAGTACATATGTCTCTGTTTACATATATTTTACACACATATAGAGATTCTTAAGATAACCGCACAACAGGTATGCTGAGGTTTCTATAATTTCATAGAAAAACTGTAACCAAAAAAGCCAAACCAAACCAAATCGAAATGTAACATAGATGACACGTGGCATCCATCCAGAGAGTCGAACATTTCTAAACTATGAACAACATGAACAAGGCTCACGAGTTTTGATTGCTCTTTGTGAAGAATGTGTGTATTGGGATGTGTTTGCTACTGTCCTTTTGATTGCTCTTTCTGCTTCTTTGGTTTGGAATTTACCTTTTCCTTTCCGAGAATCCTAACAAGTGTTTGGTTATGAAGTTTCAGTTAAAGCAGAGACTTGTATGAAAAATAAAGGAGTAGCTTAAAAATGAATTGTTATCTCTTCTGTTCTGGGCAGCTGAAATTGCAGAAATGCTATCTCATGACATGAAAAAGGAGGGTCTAACAGCAAGGACGTTGACACTTAAACTGAAAACTACCTCCTTTGAGGTGCTCATCTAAATTTCATTTTATTTTTCCATATATGGAAATCCATCTATGTGCTGAAAGTGTGACAATCTGCTATGCTCAGATCAGGAGCAGAGCTGTTAGCCTGCAGAGGTACACGTGTTCAAGTGATGATATACTAAAGCATGCTACAACGCTGTTGAAGGCGGAACTTCCTGTTTCCGTATGGTTGATAGGTGCGGCTCAATAGTGTTCGTCATTCTTCTCTCTTTAGAAACATAATATTAAATATACTAGCCCATCTACTAAAATTCTAGAATTCGATCTATGAATATGCAGGTTTGCGCATGTCGCAGTTCGTTGGAGAAATCCGCAATTCTGATCCTTCACAGGGAACTATTACTAAGTTCATCGTTCAAAAGGATTCTTCAAGACAAGATCTGGATGATAATGACTCATTTGACTTAGATGCTAGTAAAATTGCTTAAGTAATGACGTGAGTTTATCCTTTGGTTCCCATGAGACAAGCTATGCCCATCTGAAGGATGTTGTTGAATATGAAGAACGATCCCAAATAGATTCTGAAAAGGTAATTCCAAATCAAGAATGTGTGGAAAAAGAAGAAAGGCCGCAAGTATTGGAAGGAGATGCTCTGCTCAAAAAACACTAGGAGTGCAAACCAGATTCGAATCACTTGATGAATGATAGTTATAATGTACAAAACACCGAAGCAGTTTCAGTATTTCCGCAAATGGAGCCGTTACATTGGGTTGATGGATACAAATGCGTCTTGTGTGGGATCGAGTTACCACCATCTTTTGTAGAGGAACGAAGACTCTGATTTTCATCTCGCTCAGAGACTTCAAAACGAAGAATCTGGCTCGAGTTCTTCCACAACACCTTCAAAACGAAGGTCAGCTCACAGTAACATTTTAAAGCTACACCTTTATTTTTCATACAAGTCTCTGCTTTAACTGAAACTTCATAACCAAACACTTGTTAGGATTCTCGGAAAGGAAAAGGTAAATTCCAAACCAAAGAAGCAGAAACCTGATCAAAAGGACAGTAGCAAACACAAAGAGCAATCAAAACTCGTGAGCCTTGTTCATGTTGTCCATAGTTTAGAAATGTTCGACTCTCTGGATGGATGCCACGTGTCATCTATGTTACCTATATTATCCCATCATTTCATTTAATTATTTATCTGAACCTCTTTCAGGAACGAAACTCAGAAGAAATGAAGATTGCTCTGATTCCAGCTAAACTCAATCTCTCACCGTCCAATTCCCTGGGTGAACCCAAATCATTACCGTCGATGTCAGACATCCTGACATCATCAAGAGCTCGAAAGATAGACTTAAAGATCCAAACTTTAGGACCGTTTTTCAGAGTGACGGGGAAGAACTTAGAAACAGGCGGTGAGGTGGGATAATAGAGAAAAGTTTGTTACAGTCTCAAAGAGAGAAGAAACTCTGTATTTCTCATTAAAGTCAAAGTGACGTACAAAGTTTTGTTTTATAGTAAGAGGCAAATCCGGTTTATAGTATACCGGTTCACATTACAGAATCAAATGTATGATTAACTAAACCATACACTCTATTATGCCCCCTCAAGATGGCATGTAGATAGACTTCAATGACATCTTGCCAATGAGAGCTTTGAACTGTGCTGGATACAGTGGCTTAGTAAACGCATCTGCAAGCTGTAAATCTGTCTTGACATGTAGAGTTTTGATCAAGCCACTCAAAATTCTGTCTCTAACAATATGACAGTCCAGCTCAACATGTTTTGTTCTCTCGTGAAAAACAGAGTTGTTGGCTATGTGTATAGCTGCAGTAGAATCACAAAAGAAAGCCACAGGTGCAAGTTGAGGTACCTTGAGGTCATTCAAAAGATTCACCAACCATACTATTTCTCTGACAGCATACTGCATGGCCCTGTACTCCGATTCTGCAGAAGAATGAGAAGCCATTTGCTGCTTTTTAGACTTCCATGAGATGAGTGAATCTCCCAAGAACATACAGTAACCAGATGTTGATCGCCTTGTATCCTTGCAGGAAGCCCAATCAGCATCTGTAAATCCTTTTAGCACAAAATCAGAAGTGGAAGAATAGAACAAACCATTCCCAACTGTGCCTTTAATGTAAGCCAACACTTTGTGAGCTGCCTTCATGTGTGTTGCCTTAGGAGCTGATGTATATTGACACAATTTATTCACAGCAAAGGTGATATCAGGTCGAGTTATTGTAAGATACATCAGTTTCCCAACAAGTCGTCTATAGGAGGCAGGGTCATCAATGACTGGTTCTGGACCATCACCCACCAGTTTAATACTTGGTTCCATAGGAATGTTAGAAGGCTTACAAGCCAACATTCCAGCTTCTTCTAGCACATCTAAGGCATACTTCCTCTGTGAAACAGATATTCCTGAGGCTGATCTTGCTACTTCTAATCCTAAGAAGTATTGCAAAGACCCCAAATCTCGAAGCTTAAAAGCTTTCTTCAAATCTTCTTTCAATTGAATCACATCCTCATCATTGTTACTTGCTATTACTATGTCATCTACATAGACAAGAACAGCAAGATACTTCCCATTAACATTCTTAACGAATAGGGTATGATCAGCATGAGATTGTTGGAACCCCAGAGACATTAACGTGGATCTAAACTTCAAGAACCACTGTCTAGAGGCTTGTTTTAAGCCATAAAGGGACTTCTTTAATTTGCAGACTGCATTGGGAGGAATAACTTCTCCGTCCTTTGGTGTGTACCCTGGTGGCAAGGTCATATAAATCTCTTCATTGAGATCACCATTTAAGAACGCATTGGAGATATCTAACTGATGAAGACTCCATTTCTTAGCAGCTGCAACAGCAAGTAAGGTCTTGACTGTTGTCATCTTAGCCACTGGTGAAAATGTGTCTGCAAAATCTACTCCTTCTTGTTGTGTGTAGCCTTTAGCGACGAGACGAGCTTTATATCGCTCTAAGCTTCCATCAGCATTGAGTTTCACCTTATATACCCATTTACAGCCTATAGCATGCTTATCTGAAGGCAATGAACAAATCTCCCATGTAGCAGTGCCTTCTAAAGCCGTTAACTCTGCATTCATAGCTTGAAGCCAATCATCTGACTTCTTAGCTTGAGAGAAAGAACTCGGTTCTGAATATTTTGTGACTGAACAGATATAGGCTCGATATGGGGTTGAAAGCTGATCATAAGACATGTAATTAGACAGAGGATATTGAACTCCTTTTCCTGTCAGATTACAGTAATAATCCTTCAAGTGAGCTGGTTGCACCTTCTACTGGTGCTTCTTCTTCTGGTGCCACTATCACGGCATTACCTGGTATGGCTTTCTCTTCTTCCACTTTACGTTTTGTTGGAGCATTGAGAGCAACAGGGAATGTTTTATGTTCTGAATCATGGATAATAGATAGTGGTGCTACACACCATGTGTGTCATGACAAAAAGTTGTTTCGGATTTTATCTGAAACATTGAATGATTCAGTCACTTTACCTACTGGATTTGGAGTGAAAATCACAGGAATAGGTACAGTGGAATTAAGTGATCACATGATATTGCAGAATGTGTTATATATTCCAGACTTTCGGTTAAATTTACTGAGTGTGAGTCAGTTAACCAGAGATTTGGGATATAGAGTAAGTTTTGATGATGGTGGTTGCTTGATACAGGATCATATCAAGGGGTTGATGATTGGTAAAGGTGATCAAATCTCCAATCTCTATGTTCTGGATACACATTCTCTCATGAAGGATTCAGCTCAACCTCTTGCTTTTTCTGCAACTATTGTTGATTCTAGTTTATGGCATAATAGACTAGGTCATCCATCTATGATCAGAACAGATATTGTTACAGATGTACTTGGTTTTAAACAAAGGAATAAAGATAATTTTCACTGTGCTATTTGTCCCTTGGCCAAACAAAAGAAATTATCATTTCCATCCAAGAATAACATTTGTGACTCTGCTTTTGATCTATTACACATTGATATATGGGGTCCGTTTTCTACTCCTACAACAGAAGGATACAAATACTTTCTAACCATTGTTGATGACCATACTCGAGTAACATGGTTGTATTTGTTGAAAACAAAGTCTGAAGTATTGCAGATTTTTCCGGACTTCTTAAAAATGGTGGAAACACAGTACAAGACTGCAGTGAAAGCAGTTCGCTCTGACAATGCACCTGAGCTCAAGTTTGTTGATTTGTTTAAGAACAAGGGCATCATGGCTTACCATTCATGTCCAGAAACTCCGGAGCAAAACTCCGTTGTTGAACGTAAACATCAACATATTTTGAATGTTGCTAGGTCCTTAATGTTTCAGTCAAGAGTTCCTGAAGAGTATTGGGGAGATTGTGTTCTCACCGCAGTCTTTCTTATCAACAGGCTCCCTACACCATTACTGCAGAATAAATCACCTCATGAAGTTCTCACCTTCAAGAAACCAGATTATGCAGGCTTAAGAGTCTTTGGTTGCTTATGCTATAGTTCAACTTCTTCAAAGAACAGGAATAAGTTTCAACCCAGGGCTAAGGCTTGTATCTTTCTGGGATATCCAAGTGGTTACAAGGGATACAAATTATTGGATCTGGAAACAAATCAGGTACACATCTCAAGGAACGTTGTGTTTCATGAATCTATCTTTCCCTTCAGTTCAGATGATTCTACTGGTCCTTTCTCTGAAATTTTTGGCAGCATCAATGATTCTGTTGATGAGAATTCCCCTGAAAACGTTTGCAGTAACATTCCTGCAGTTGTGAGTGAAACTTCTTCTTTAAGTGAATCTCCTGCAGTTGTGAATGACTCTGTAAATGTTGATTCTCCTATAGTTTCAGCTCCACCACCTGTTTCAGCTAAAAGGTCAGTTAAGTGAAGCCATATCATCACTGAGTTGTGCAGAAAAGTAAGCAAGAACACCTTGAATTTGATCCTTAGTCAGAGTTTTTGCCATTCCCGCAAGCAAATCACTCGAAGTAGAACTTGTCAAAGCAAGTTGAGCAACAACAGGTTTGATAGGAGCAACAGACTGCTTATCCTGCTGAGTAGACTTGTTTTTATGTTTGAAACCAATGGGGTACCCATGGATCTTGTAACATTTATCAACAGTATGACCAGTATATCCACAGTGAGAACAAATCACCTTCTGTTGTGTTCTTGAGTGATTATAAGTAGCATTAGCAGAGATCTGAGTTGGTTCTCCTGCTGAAACATTAAATGCCACTGCATTTTGAATAGGAGCAATGGTTCTCTGACTCAAATCTTGATCCAACAAGTTGTATATCTCAGCAAGTTCAGGAACATGCTTTTTCATGATGATCTGACTTCTAATGACTGCATAAGATTCATTTAAACCAGCCAGAAACTTAATAACGCGAGTGTGTTCTGACTTTTTCTCCATAGTCTTGCAGCAATCACAATTTCGACAAACTGTAACACAATTAGCACCATCTAACTCATTCCACAAAGTCTTCAGAGTGGTATAGTAAGTAGCAAGATCCATTGAGCCTTGCTGCAATGACCAAATCTGTTGAGACAATTGGTATGAACGTGGAAGATTTGTGATATGA